CCCAAAAATAAATAAACGTTGAAAAAAAAAAAATAAAATAAAATTACAGAATTTTGATTATGAAATGCAAAATGTGAAACGTAAAATTTTAATGGCAATACATCTCTTCACGAAATGGACTGAGAGGGATTTTCCTATTTTTCTAGTTAATTCCTGTTATCGGTAGACGCATGTCCTTTGTCGCTAGAACAGGACTGGGCTGGATATTCGTTCTACTCCCTTTTTTTCTCTCTTGAAAAAAAAATTATTTATTTATTTGGAGAGAGAAAAAGCACGAGTCAGGGAGGAGCAGAGAGAGAGGGAGAGAGAGAGAGAGAGAGAGAGAGAGAATCCCAAGCAGGCTCTACACCGTTGGGGCTCGAACCCACAAACCATGAGATCATGACTTGAGCTGAAGTCAGAGGCTTAATAGACTGAGCCACTCAGGCGCCCCAATTTTTCTCTTTTATACGAAGTGCTGAGTCACTGGTAAGTTTCCCGCAGCTGCTGTAAGAAATGACTACAAACTCGGTGGCTGACGACAACAGAAATTTCTTCTCCTACAATTCCGGAGGCCAGGAGTCTGGAATCGGTATCCCCAGATTGAAATCAAGGTGTTGACAGGGCCTCACTCCTTCTGGAGGCGCTAAGAGAGAATCAGGTGGGCGCCTCTCCCGGCATCTGTGGCTGACGCCTTTCCTGGGCTTGTGACCGCCCACCCTCCACCCTTCAAGGCCACGTCTTCAAATCTCCCTCTGCCTCTCACAGGGACACGTGGGATTGCATTCGGAGCCCTCCCCCAGACAATCCAGAATAGCCTTCCCATTTTAAGATCCTTGACTTAAAACATCTGCATGGGGGCACCCGGGTGGCTCAGTCAATTAAGCGTCTGACTTCGGCTCAGGTCACGATCTCACCGTCTGTGAGCTCGAGCCCCTGCGTTCAGCTCTGTGCTGACAGCTCAGAGCCCGGAGCCTGCTTCGGATTCTGTGTCTCCCTCTCTCTGCCCCTCTCCCACTCATGCTCTGTTTCTCTTTCTCGCTTGACAATAAGTAAGCATTAAAAATAATTTTTAAAAAATCTGCAAAGACCCTGTTCCAAATAGGTAACACTCATGGATTCCAGAGGTTAGGACATGGGTGTCTTTTGGGGAGTCATTTTCAGTGTACCACAGAAACTCTGTATTTACTGCACACCTACTGTGTGCCAGGCATTTGTCTAGGCACGGAGAATACAGCTGTGAACAAGACAGAGATCCCTAGCCTCCCTAAGGCAGTCTAAGGCCACACTGTCCAAAATGGTAGCTCTCAGCCCCGTGTGGCTATTGAGCACTTGAAATGTGACTGGTCCCAACGGAGATGTGCTGAAATGTAAAATACACACTGGAGGGGCACTTGGGTGGTTCATTTAAGCATCTGACTCTTGATTTTGGCTCAGGTCACGATCTCGTGGTCGTGAGATCAAACCCCACCTCAGACTCTATGGTGGGAGGGCGTGGAACCTGCTTGAGAGTCTTTCCCTCTCCCTCTGCCCCTCTGCTTGCACACTCTCTCTCCTTCAAAAACCAAAGAAAGAAAAAAAAAGAAAAACATTAAAAAAGTACACACTGAGTTTGAATATTTAGCACGCACACAAAAAGAATGTTAAATAGCACGATAATTTTTGGATATATTTTTTTAAGGATTTTTTTATTCAAAAAAAATTTTTTAATGTTTATTTTTTAGAGAGAGAGCGTGAGCAGGGGAAGGGCAGAGAGAGAGGGAGACACGGAATCTGAAGCAGGCTCCAGGCTCTGAGCTGTCAGCACAGAGCCTGACTCAGGGCTCAAACTCATGGACAGTGAGATCATGACCTGAGCCAAAGCTGGACGTTTAACCGACTGAGTCACCCAGGCATCCCAACATATTATTTTAATTTTTAAGTAATCTCTACACCTAACGTGGGGCTCGAGCCCACGACCCTGAGATCAAGAGTCACACGCTCCTCTGACTGAGCCAGCCAGGAGCCCCTAATTTTTGGATATTGATCACATGTTACGAGTGATAACCTTTGGGATACACTGAGTTAAATCCAATAGGTTATTAAAGTTAATTTCACTTGAGTTTTTACTTTTCTGTAATGTAGCTACTAGAATATTTAGAATTGCATACCTAGCTTGCATTGTATTTCTCTTGGATGGTGCTGTGCTGTTCCAAGGGACGGGAGCCTATGGACAATTAACACAATAAATATGTACATTTTATGGTATGTTAGGAAGTGATCATTTCTATGGAAGAAAAATAAAGATTGGGGTAAGAGAGTATATCAGCTTCCTGTCACTGCTGTAACAAATTACCACAAATGTAGTGGCTCAAAAAACCACAAATGTATTATCTTGCAGTTCTAAAGGTCAGAAGTCCAAAACGGGTCTTAGGGCCTAAATCAAAGGCCAAATTCTTTCTGGAGGTTCCAGGGGGAAATCCATTCCCCGTCTTTTTCAGCTTCTAGACAAGTCTTTGGCTCCTGGCCACATCACTCTGACCTCTGCTTACAAAATCACATCTCCTTCTCTGACTCTGACCCTCCCACCTCCCTCCTAAGAGGACTCCTGTGATGTTACCGGTCCACCAGGATGATCCAGAATAATCTCCCCATGTCAAGATCATTCATTTGGTCACATATGTCAGGTCCCTTTGACCATGTAAGGTAACATATTCACAGATTTGGGGGATCAGGAGGTGGATGTCTTGGGGGGGGGCATTATTCTGCCTGCCGCAGGGAGGGTCAAGCCAGAGGAGGTGCAATTTTACACAGGGTGTCTGGGAGAGCCTCCCCGAGAAGGTGACAGCCACCCAAAGACCTGAAGGAACGGAGGGACGGAGCGATATAAATACTAGAGAATGGAGTAGCCAATGCAAAGGCCCAGAGGTGGGTCTGTTCCAGGGAACCTCGCGGCCTCCTGGCACCTAAACCAACAGGGGTCAGAAATCGGCGCCTCCCGAATCTTGCCTGAGGAACAGGAGGATGTGGGACCCCTTATCATAGTCCGTCTCTGGGCACAGTGTCTCTTGCCCATGGCTCCTCAAAGGGCAGTTGGACCTGTGGGGAGAGGCAGGAGCCTGGGTCAGAAGGACAGTGGGTCCAGCGGTCCCCTCCACCCGCAGTCCGGAGGGGCGATCACCTGGGCTCCGCGGTCCTGTCTGTCCTGTCTGTGCAGCGTTCGCCGGCTGTGCCACTGGCGCAGGGAGGCGCGGGCCTCAGAGCTGAGCCCCTGGGGTGCGCGGCCCACATCGGGCTGGTAGTGAGCAATGTGGTGCAGCGCCCCAAACCACGTGGTCAGGTAGTACCCGGCTAGGGGCAGGAAGGGGTGGTCAGCGCAGCTCTCGGGCTACGCTGGTGGCCGAGGTCCCCCTGCAGTTTAACCCTTGCTGTAGGGCGAGGCTGTTTGGCCCCAGGGCGCCCCCTGTGGGGTCCCGGCGTTCCGGGGTGGGGGCTCACCTTCTCCCCGCAGCTCGTCCGGATCCAAGAGCTCCATAAGAAACTCCACGTCCAGCTGCGTCTCCCCAATGTGCGGACTCCAGATCAGTTCTTCCGTCAGCGCGGGCAGGAAGGCGTCGGCCCCCAGGGGCTCTGGCGGAGCAGGACGGGCTCCGAGGTGGATGGCGGGCGTGCAGACCCCTCCGTCCGATCCCCAGAACACGAGTGCGGGCTGCCCTTCCACCTCGCTGGGCCGGCAAACGCCTCTCGGCGGATCCCCAGGCCCGCGTAGACGCCCCCTGCTAGAGCGGGTCACCCTCTCCCCTCGACGTGCACACTGGCGCCTCCCACCGCGCCTCCCCAATCCTCCAGCCACCGCACATCCGGGTAGACGCGGGTAAACCTTTACCTTGGTCCTCGCCCTGAGCCAGGCCCGCGTAAACGTCACTGCACACCTCCAGCAGCAGCGCCACCTTGCGGCGTGGGGCGCAGGCGGCGTGGAGGTGCTCCAGGCGCGCGTGGATGCGGCTCCGCAGGGCGGGGGCGGGGCCCTGCCC